CACAGTAGCCACCTAGACATCAATAAACCATCAACAAGTTTGAAGTTATGCAGATCTATCCTGGCTGACAGCCACTGGGAAATTCTGGCCCATCCAACTTAGACCAAGTTGAGAAGTCCCATATACTTGTTCTGGTGTTATTCTGCTGCCCAAATGGATATGTACTCCCTTTATTGATTCCCCAGCTAGTTTAGGTACCTGGCTCTGGAGCCAGGGGTTAGGAGTTCAAATTCCTGGCATGCCTCCTGGGGAAAGAGTGGAGTTCAAATTCCTGGCATGCCTCCTGGGAAAACAGTCAGCCTGGGTGGCCTTGGGCCAGCTGCACAGTCCCAGGGCATCCCTGGCAGAAGAGAAGAGGAAACCACTTCTGAACATTCTGTACAAGGAAAACCCTGGAAAGGGTCACTGTAAGTCAGAATTGACTTGAAGGCACATCATCATCATCATTATTAATGATTCCCCAGCACTTTCTCCTAGCGCCCTCCCCACAGACAAAGGCATGAAGTCAAGGAGCCCTACATGAAATTACTTCCCACTGATCTCACTTATATGAATTTCTGGGCAGCAGTGGGTTTTCCCCCCTTACCGCTTCTGCTTTCTGCTCCTCTCAGTTCTCCACCAACTTTCCTGTCCTTCTCTATCTGCAGGTCATCTCCGCTTCACTCCCAGGAAACTCCCAGGCTCTTTGCCAAGCTAGTGGGAGGGAGCATCAGGAGGAAGCCATGTACCAACCTGGGCCCATGCGCTTCGGCAGCAAGATCTAAATCCATGGGAAGGGATCTAAAGCTCCTTCCTCTTGGCTGCAAAACAGCAGGACCCTAAATTGTTTGGGAAGGTGGAGCAGTGGTTAGAGCTAAGGCACGCGAAGCACAACCCGTTACAGGTCACTGGACTGTAAGTACCATGGGTCATCACTGGCAAAAAAAACAACAACCAATAGGGAAGAATGCTGGGAGTTGTAGTCCTACAAGATACAGAGGGTTGAGATTTGAACACCCCGGGGTTGCAGTTTTAAACAAGGACTTGGGAGATCTTCAGTTCTCCTGCCCCACTAAGTCAGCAAAACTCGCTAGGTGACCATAGGCCAGTCTATCTCTCACTCTCTTGCACTGCCTGGCCTACCTCACAAGGCTGTTGTGAGCTCAGCAATGGAAAGGCAGGACATCAAGGTTAACAAAAAACGCTTGCAAAGTATTCCAACCTAATAACAATAATAAGAGGAGGGCGAAGCAACCTTGAAGATAAACTCAGACTTATGACAACCCTTTCCAGGTAGAGTACTCAGAGGTGGTCCACCATTCTCTTCTCCAGAGTCCACTCTGGACCTGCACAGCTTTCCCAAGGCTACATAGGCTGAATGTTTTCAGATGCCCAACTATTCCCAACCTCTGGTTCTGCAGCCAGAAACCTAACCCACTGAGCTATCCAGGCTAACTCTGGACACCAGATAACCATAATTTTGCCTACAAGAACCACCTCCATCTGGTATAGATTAAACAGGGGGGGGGGGGGGAGAAGAGCATAACTTGCAAGGAGGAGAGATGGGACATGTAAATTCCAAAACACCTGGAGGCCACTAGCTTAGAACCTAATCTAAAGGCATCCAGGAGGAAGGTCTGATGGGAACATGTTCATTCATTTATTTAATATCCCCCCTTTTCTCAATATTGGTAGTGAAAGTGGAGCACGAAACAGCTGAAGAGCAGGCACAATGACAGACCCAATGTTAACATATTATAGCATCTGTATTAAAAGCTGTGATGTGTTAACCTCTGACCCGTCATTGTGCCTGTTCTTTAGCTGTTTTGTGAGCTGCCTTCTGTACCAACACTGAGAAAAAAAGGGGGGGGGTGTTAAACAAATGGACAGACCTCTATTAAAGCAGCTGGCTGGGTAGCTCAGTTGTTGAGGGATCTGGATGTAGAGTCAGAAGCTGGGAGTTTGATTCCCAGCCATGCTTCATGGGAGAAGAGCCAGCCTGGGTGGCCTTGGGCAAGCTGCACACCGTCCCGGGATAACCTCAGAAGAAGGGAATGGAAAGCCACTTCTGAGCATTCTTTACTTGGAAAACCCTGGCCGCAAGTCAGATTTGACTTTGTTGTGGTTTTTTAGTATTTAAATTTATTTATTTCTAAAGAATGAAAAGACAATCGACCATATTACACATTGTAAATACAAAGCTATTCCCCACATTTTTCCAGTACATATATACCATTCCCATTCACCTTTTAAAGAAATATTGACCAACAATAATTGACGGTACAATTTTTCATTATTATTTTAAAGGACTATCATAACAAACCCCCAACAACAACAAATAATTTAAAAGCACATCAGAGTGTGCAAAGGGAACCCCCCATAGCTTCTGCACCATGACTAAGGCCCAGTTTCTCACACCCAAGCACCTCTTTGGGGCTCCCCACCTTTTTCCTGGGCTCCAGTTCCTCTCCA